TGTCCTAATTCATTTTTGCATGACAATTTTCCAACCGTTATTTATCCATTTGAATTAAACAGGCTAGGTTACGGTACTGATGCCCTGTTTTGTGCCTCATTCTAAAAACAGTCTATGGTGAAGCACTCCTTATAACTTCAGTGTGAATGGGTGGGGCTAAACTGCTGTAGGCTAACTAGACGAATATACACACATTTGCTTGTTTCCATGACAGAAACAGTGAATTCAAAACACCAAGGTGTTGCAGCTTAGTTTCCGTATATGGACTGTATGGATTGGGGACAGAGTGGTACTTTTGATACTTTAACAGTTTTTGCACACTAAATTAAACTCCTTTAGTTCAAGAAAGAGGAGAATTCAGTTTTCCATTACATAAGGGCCCATTAACTATTATTACCTGCAGGGATGCAACGATAAGGATCTTCTTTATGGTCAATTCCAATTTCTTTACATTTTTACTGTCTTTTTTCATACCTAAAGCTTACACTGTGTGAGCTAAATGAACACAGGAAACACAGGCCAAACCAGCATTTTAAAATTTGTGAATGAAAATGAAAAATCAGTTGCCTACTTACATAACATGAATCAAATAAAGTGCTACACTGAAAGAAAGAGCCGACTAGCTATTCAGCACAATGACTCATGCATAATTGTACTACGACATTTCGAGCAAAAATCTGACAATTTCAATCCTGGCCAATTTTATGGTACAGACTGATAAAGAACAGAACACATATAATCTTCTAACTGGACTAGGGCTATTTTACTGCTTCGCCATTGTTAGAATGTTAAGGGTAGTGATACGTTGCAATAGGTCATGAATTTCCACTGCAGTTGAGCACTTAGGCTCTCATGACCACAAGTATCTGAAGCTAATATAGCCATAATACTGGCTTCAAAGATTAAAGCAAATGTGTTAAAACACTCATTATTGCTGAATTTATAAAATAGTCATAATACTCAAAATTCATCGGCAACAACCTAAGTATATGACTTAATTGAACTGTTTTTTTAAATGTCATCATTGTCAAATGTTGTAGTTACTTTTCCACTGAATTTTAAACCCTTGCCATAAACACCAATAGCACTCCAAAAAAACAAAACAAACTGAGAAATATTATTTTAAAAGGCCTACTTAGCCTTGGTTCCTATTACAAGCTATTTTACTGGAGGTATTAATGAACGTGTCTCACAAAAATTAGAACAAATATTAGACAAAACAGCACAATGTGTGAAAAGTTATGATTTAAAATGCAGTATTAACAATAATTGTTTTCTTTTGACAGAATATACAGTTAGGGGTCTTGCTGTAGGTCTTTCTGGAGTATACATGTGGAATCTGACTACTAACTAAGTTCAAAAATGCAACAAAACAGTCCAAGTCCAAATGTTGTGGTATCATAATGCATGAGTCATTGTGCAAAACAGCCAATCGTCTCTTACTTATCGTCTCAGTCTCTTGACTGACATTATTTAAGTAGACAACTGATGTTTCATTTATGACTTTAAAACGCTGGTTTGGTCCGTGCTTTATGTGTTCATTTATACCACACAATGTGAGCTTTGGATTAAAAAAATGTTCAGTAAAACTCATCCATCAGCCAGTTTTGCTGTAAAGAACTCAAAAAAAAATCATTATCAGCACATCCCAAAACAGAATAATAGTTTTTAAAAGCACTTGTGTTGGTTAGTTCTGTGTCCCATGTGAACCTATGTGAGATTATTTTTCCATCATATCTTATTTTGTGAGCAGACATTGCACAAAAATTTGTTGTTAAAAGTTGTTATTATTCTTGCTGGTACATACAAGCAAACAGACCAGATTCATAAGTTACAATAGTAAAGTCCTGGGGGGAAACACTCTCTGAACTCCAAAGTCAACTCTGAACCCACAGTTGCAAAATACTGTGGCATGCAAGTTCGCTATGTAAGAATGTGCGTGATGTTGCTGCCTGTTAATTGTTTTCCTCATTCTTTCTTGAAGCACGTTTCCAAGCATCCTAAGCATATGATTAAAGTATGAATGGCTGACGTCTGCGCCCGACCTCTTTCTGCAACACAAATCCCAATGCAATAAGAGGGATTTTTATTTAGATCTAGTCTCTTGCCTCATCTTAATTACACATGCTGTTATAACCACTGGGAGCTGTGGCAGTATGTCATTAGGGTGGAGGCAGAGGGAGGAGAATTGTATGTTTACAAAGCATTAAGAGATCATAATAAATTGGTTACGATAGTTAACTAAATGCTGCTCCCTCACACTTAATACTGCAGCTCCAGGTGTTTAAAAAGTAAAAGTGTCAAACTCCTGGCCCGCAGGGAGTATTTTAGTATTTTGTTAGTATTTTGTCTGCTTTAATGCATTCAAGTCATTAGCTAATTCGCATGACTGCAATAAGGTAATGAGCTGTTTTTTTAGCCATGACAGGCCTCTTGATAGGTGAACAATCCTTGCAGATTCGCTGGGTACTTTGTATTGGTATGGCTTCCACTCATTTTCTAAGTTGCTCTGGATAAAAAGTGTCTGCTAAATGAATATATGTAATTAATTCGGAGCACTACACTGCGCCTCACTGTTCCAATTTGTCTTAAGAAGTTACATTCCTAAGACCAGCTCTTGCACATAATAAGGCTGAAGATGACTGGTTAATAATGAGGCGTGAGGTCAACGTCCACATGCTAACAGTTAAGCTTATTTTACCAAATGTATTACAATCTGGACGCAAATGATCAGCAACTCTGTACTAAGAAGAATCAGTGAGTGGGCATGAAATAAACATCTAAATGTGAATGAAACTAATACAGGTAAAAAGGTACAAGTCCTACACTCTTGAAGAAAAGGTACAAAACTGTTACTGGGGTGGTACCCTCAAGGGTATGTCATCAGTACCTTTAGTTAGGAAACATAATTGTACCGTATTCCATTGTAATTATATTTTTAAGTTGCACTGACTCCACCTCGTCTTGACTCCAACCTTTGTATTTTATTTTTCTGTTTCAAAACATTGGGTTACGAAAAGGTGCAAATATGTACCCTTCTCCTGGGAAAAACCTGTTTAAGGCAGACAACTGGACCCGGAATAGGAATAGGAATATCATGTTATACTGTGAACAGACTGCCTAGACATTAATAAGCAATAAAAAAAGTAATATGGTTTTAGAACCTATTTTAAATAATCAGCTGCAGCTGAATATAAATCTAAACAGTTTGTGACCAATGCACAATACGTTTTTGTGAGCTTGGGCACATTTCGTACATCCATGGCAACTTGGTGTATAAATCTCAAATATGGATGAAATTAAAATATTGGTGGCAGACATACAAGGTGACCCAATGACATTAATGCAAGAGGATGGAAAGGGGAGACGGCCCAACCCTGAGTCCAATCACTACACCTACATACTAAATACTGGGTCGATTATAACAGATATGTATCTGAACATGTATGTAAAATTGTGATTTAATGCACTGCAAAATAAATGTCGAGGGTAAAATTATAACTAAAGATGACACAGGCCGACTCAGCACAGGCTGATGACAGCAGTTAGAATTATGCACAGTGACAAACAGCCCAATAAAGGTTATGCTAAATGCTAAAGTCATTAGCTGAATGCATGTTCTTTTTTCTCCCCATATATAACTGCAAGAAGATTCCAGCTTACCCTACAAGACGCATTTATCTGAAAAAACTAAGGGTATAAAAGGGGACACTATAAAAGGTAGGGAAGCAACATGAGTACGGACTTTCTAACAGAACTAATTGATGTATATCATGCCTTTATACCAGTTAGCTTACCCCTTTGTGATAGCAATTCCCTATTTTCAATACACCATTTCAATAGACATTAGCTGGCTGCTGAATCATGCCAGCGTTTTCAGACAGAGCACAAAAAGGGACTGCTTTCTGCAGGAGGCCTGAGCTTTGTAACGTTATGCCGGACAGTTTTGCAACAGTGTATTGAAATTTAAAACTGTACTGCCAATATACCAAACAGTTCCTTTGTCTCTCATTTGACGTTTTTTCAAGGAAATTAGAAAAGATGAAAAAAATCAAAAGAATTAACTTTGCTGGAATTAATGCTGGAATTAATGCTTACTGTCAATATTTAGCACATTTTATAGTGATTTGTGGCAAGTTGATGCTGATATTTCGGCTGTGGGGTTGGTTTAAAAAAAGATACGATACAGAAGGTTTTATATGAGGTAGTTCAGGTGTCGTATTCTTTATAGCTCATTTGCACTGTTTTATAAGGCCACTATTTCACACAAACAAAATGCACAGACGTCGCACCTACAAGTGGTATAAACACACGCTTAGGACCCCCAACCCAGCTGGGGCACACCGAACAAGTAGGTTTTAATTAGTCAATAATGTTTGTAGAAAAGGGCAGTTCAAAGATGTTAAATAAATAAATGAATAAATAAATAAATAAGCAGCTTTTCTCTTCCTGCATACAAAAGAACATTACTGGGGAGGGTGATGGGACTTCTTTTAGGGCAGCCCTGACAACACGCTTACTTTACAATCTTTGTTTTGAAGTAAAAATAACCATTTTTGAGCCAGTCTAGTCTGTTTAATATACAACCAAAGCTAAGCAGAATCAATACATTTTCAGCACATTAAATATCGAAAATCGAAGCGAGTATTGACCTAAGAATCGACCACCGCACCGAGCCTGTAAATATGTGTATCGGTGCACCCGTATTTTGAAGGCCGGGACGGAGCGTGCTGTTCATTTTAACGCTTTCTGCTCTTCTCTTCCAGGACGGACTGTGGTCAGTGTGAGAGAGTTCATAACTTGCATTGTAACTACACTACATCACATCTGTTTAAACAGACATCTTCTCACAGTGTGCTGGCCGGAGCTGTCTGGCCTTCCGCAGCCTCTCCGGTCAGTCTGCTCTAAGCCCACACTTACCGGTAATGCGACTCCCTGCCTGAAAGTGACGGATCGCTTTTCGCGAGTGGAAACTGTGGAGCTGTGAAGACTTTACTTACATGGTCTGAATTTCTGTCGTTCCCAGGCTGTAGTGCTGCACGAGAAGACATTGTCCCTGAGCTCTTCACTCCCAACGACGACTCCCAAGTATTCCTTCTATTTATATATGTACAAAATGTACCAGTGAGGAGGCAAATCTACCGTCATTTGCCCCCCTGCATCTCACAGTCTCACACCCCCTGTTCAGCTCTGGCTCGAGGCAGCCACTGCCCTCACTCCCTCACTCAGACAGACAGACAGACAGACAGACTACAGGCTAGCCTGGGTGATTTTCTCCTGCTAGAAGCCGTAAAAGGGTGATAAACTCAAACAATCCGCATTTCCAGTTACAGTGTTGTGTTGTGTCACCGCCCTGTGCTGACGAGAGGAAGAGGAGACGGTGTCCAGCGCTGAAGTCTGTGTCTACACGGCGCTCGTGTTTGCGGTAATCTGGCTGGAACAACAGCTCATTCTGTCTGTTGACGGGCGATAAAAAGTCCCGTCCAGTGTTTCCATTATTCTGTCCACAGGCTGAATGTGTATCAGCACGTCTTCCCACCACCAGCCCACTCTTTCTTCCTCTTCTACCTTCGAGTCAGACCAGACGAGACGAGAAAAACAAAACAAACACAAAGAAGAGGAGTCGAATGGGCTAATGTGCCTCCTTTTCAAGGAGCCCCTTCTCTTCTTCCAGCTGATAGGTGTCTCTCGGCCGAAACGAACCACTCCCTCGCTAACAGAGTCTCCTTCAAAGACTCATCTGCGCACATTTCCAGGAAAATAAATTAATAAATAAATAAAAGCCCCCAGAAGCAGCGGCAGCAGCTGGCCCACAATGTGTGAACTACAAAAACACAAACGGATGTGTCCCACCCTTACTGCCGAAGCGGATTAAAAAAAAAGAGAAAAAGAAAAAAATATATATATATAAAATTACAAGGTCGAAGAGACGCCCGTCCGAACATCCCCTCTCACAGTACTGAATTCAGCCGCTCTCCCAAAACCTTCATCCCTGAGAGCAGCGTGTGACACGAGCATCAAGGAAGGCCGTCAGGGAGAGATTGATGGGCGGGGCCGCCCTCGAGCCCTCCCCCTCCCTCTCCCTTAAAGAGACAATCCCCCCATTCATTCATTCAGCGCGAGCCTGCTCTGAGCACAAGTAGGCGCCACATGTTCAGGGACAGCAGCTAAAGCGAGTTATTTTCCACTTCCGTACTTTTTTAAAACAGATTTTTGTGCGCATGCGCTTCTGCCTCCATCGGGCATAGGAACTGAGGTTAAACAGAAGCTAACTGAGGGATACTGTTGTGTGGCAAAGTTTGGGCGCCCCTGGTCAAATGAGTTGTTTGTTGATTTTCCAAGTAATAAATAGAAGTAAACATTCTCTATGAGGAACACGCTTCATGGACATTTTATGTTTATGTACAATTACTATTTATTTGCTGAATTTACATATTGGAATAAAATAAAACATAAAATGTGGTTTGTATATTAAGTCTACACATTATGGCACATTTAATATTTTTCCCAATATGTTAAACTCAGCAAATAAAAAGAAACTATGCACTAAAACTGGCAGCAGTTTTATTGCCTTCATGCCTTATTTAACTTTGTTCTCTGTAGAGGATGTGTTAACTTATTTTCTTTTGGTAAGAGTGTATGGGAAGGATATTGGTGAATGTGTTAAACTACTTATGATTAACACAATATCTTGAGGACAGTGTTCTTGAACTGCATGCTTGCAACTGAACAAGACCATTTTGAACCCTAGAACAAGTCATTTTGTGCCTTGTGTATGATTTAGGCAAGGCCAGAGGAAGACTTTTTTCATCCATTTTCATCTTCGCTCTACTCACATTTGACATTAGTACTATGCTAAACATATAAACATTTTAGTAACATTTTCTAAAAGACTATGTACACCACATTAGAGACATTAGAGTGCATATTAGAGTATGAATTAGTGTTTACTGGCTCAGACAAGGACTACAAAGGACAACAAAGAGGAATTCCACAGATTTTTCCAAATTTCAACATAATTCAATCATTGAGATGTTAACAAAGTCATTCAGAGTATTTTGATGTGAAGTAGTTCAGAGAAATGTACTGACTCTTATTTCTTTACAGTAGTGGTGATAGGAACTAGGGCCTGCCATGCCTACAACATTAATACAGTCATTTTATTTACTAATCCAAAACCATCGACACTTGAGTTTTTATATGTTATGTTGACAATGGTAAAACAATGGTAAAACAATGGTAAACCCAATGGTAAATGGATAATAATTTGCTATATGATGGCCCGCATGTGCTTCTCCACCACAAATGGATTTTAAAAGTCCAAAACTTTAGCACAAAACTATCGTTAAACAATATCTCAGACACCATTTTTTTACACATTCACCTGGTACATTGTGCCAACACAGAGCCAGGAAGACATAATAACCATTTTCCTTTCAAATGCTTCTCATCTCACAATGGGAAACACTTGACTTGATTTGAATTGGGGATTTATTTTTGACTGTATTTCTGTGTCAGTGCATTTTGTTACTTTCTAGGAAATAGCTGCAAAATATCAATGAAACTGTGACCATTATTAGTTCGATGAGCAATAAAAATGAAGGAGCCAGGTTTATAGGCCGCTATGCTAGCCTAATCCATGACACTACCTCCACCATGTTTCAGTCTGATTTTTTTCTTTGCTCCACATTTTAATCTTCCATTCCTGTTGTCATAGTTTCTGTCAATAAAACTTTAATAATGTGAGATTTACATTCTACAGTGTATAACTTTCTGTTGATTTATCAATATACTGGCAATTTCAATGTTTTCTTCACAGCTCTTATAATTATCACCTGTATTATACTCTACCTTCTTTTCTCACTTTGTCCAAAGGTTTTATTGACTTTGATACACTAATTTTATGCCATGCATCTGTTAATAGCTATAATGAATTTGTATTGGTTTTTGCTTACTGATTGCAAATACAGACAGAAGGCTAATGTTTTGTGTGCAAAGCTAACAATCACTTAACAAGCACACACTAAAACCTTCAGTGCCCCAGTACTTTAGCTACCCCAGTTTGAGAGACTGCCTGGAGCTGCAGTGTGGGTTTTGCCATTTTACTAAGGTATTAGGTCACAAGAAGGTGGCTTAGTTTGAATTTACCTAGCATATTCTATAATCAAAGAAACACAAATGTAACTGCTAGTGATGCACACATTAGAAAGATCAGGCCAGTCAATATGCTGCTGCTGATCAGTGTTTGAACACTGGAGGAGGATTTTCGCATAAACTTCTACTGCTGGCTTAAAATAACAAAAAATAACATGTAAAATGTTAACTATGAAATTTAGTATCTCTTCTTTTGCTATATGTTTCTGAAATGCTACATGTTCAATAGTTTATAGACATCTGCTCATCCAACAATTCTTTTGAAATCAAGGGTATTAATAGGGGGTTTGCACCTCTTTGCTGCAGTAACAGCCTCTACTCTTCTAAGAAGGCTTTACATTAGATGTTGGAACATTGCTGTTCAAATGCATTCAGCTTCAAGAGCATTAGTGAGGTCAGATACTGATGTTAGATGATTACTTCTAGTTCACAAACTCCACTCCAACTCATCCCAAGGGTACTGAATGTAAATTCATCACTCCAGAGAAAACAGTTCCACTGCTCTACAGTTTAATGAAGGAGGTCTTTATACCCCTCTAGCTAATTTCTGGCATTAAGCATGGTGACCTCATGTGCGGCTGCTCCAGAGCTTCAGAACTCCTTTCTCTGGAGTGATGGAGCACCATCCAGTACCCTGAGTTGCCAGAACTTATCCAACATCAGTACCTGACCTCACTGATGCTCTTGTGGTTAAATTCACACTGGTACTGATTCTCCTCAAAAACAAAATAGAGTTGTCAACACATTTAAAATTAATATGTAATACTACATTAGATTAATCTGTAAATAAGTGTACACTGTCAGATAAAAATGGTTGTCTACTCCAACACATTGTCAAAGGGTCAAAATGCTGGATCTAAATCTTTTTAGGAACCATAGCCATTTTTATATATAATCCTCATTTCAGAGAACCATAATTGATTGGATAATTGTCTGCTCAGTTTTTTTCTTGGTCAGTCAATGTGTTTTGTTACATTATTCATTTATACATAAGAGAGCTAATAAGGATCTCGAGTTGATTCCAGTTGGGGCATTTTGCATCTGGTTTCTGCAAAATGGGAACCAAAGAAGTATCACTGCTACTAAAGTAGGCCATTGTGGCTGACAAATCAGAATAAATCAAGCAGATACAAAAGCTAAACTTTAAATGTGCCAGAACATACTCTTTGGTAGATTGTTATGAAACATGAACACATTACAGGCCTAGTAGAGCATTAGTTGGAAACAGTCCCAGTGTCTGGTGATCTCTGTGCATCGTAAGCATAGACTTAAACATAATTTTAAGATTATTTTTGGCATTTTCAAGATTATTTAATGGGACAGTGATGTATAAAGTGCACTGTTATTCCCATTATGATTACCTGAATATAGATGTAAATACCCTCAAATTAGAGCTGTTTTTCTGTACTGTAACCTAATTGTTTCAATTCATATTCAGTGTGCTGGAGTACAGAGCCAAAACAAGAAATACTGTGTCATTGTCCAGTTACCTATGGTTTGCACTGCAATTTTCTATTTATACACAGAACAGTGCAGCTCTGCACTGCAATGTGAATAAGGACTGGAATGAGCAGTTTAATTATTGCATTAATTCAAGTCTACATTGTGCATAATTTAGGAGAGTCCAGACAGGACCAGATTCAACTTTTATTTAGTCAACAGAACTATGTTAAAGTTAAAACATAAAAAAAAACCTTTCCTGAATGACTATGTGGACCACACCAGAGTGTATATCAGAGTATGAATTAGTGGTCACTGGCTCAGACAAGGACTACGTTGGCAGGACATTAATTCCTCGTCTGACGGAGATTATGATGTCTGTGGATACTTCAGCACTAATTAACCTATTTCTGACTGCAGAACTCTTTCTCCTGCTGAATGCTCCTCTGTCCTTGGTTTTGACCACAGATCATGTTCACGTTAAGAACATAAGCTAGTTTTCTCCCTCAGTCTCCATACTTGCACACTCCGTGCCTTCTGTGCCACTGAACTGTCTGGAGAACGTCGAGCACGTAAGTACAGCTGGACTCAAGGCTGGCAAGGTAAGAACCTTCCAACAGCACCATCTTGTGGTGAATTTTACACGGAAAAATGAATAAAGGACATCCACACTGTACACATTCTTAAAATGGTTCTACAAGGGTTCTATAATAAAGACGAGGGTTCTAAATAGAACTATGAGCACTCAATATTTGAATGCATTTGTATGAATGAATGACATTCATTTGAAATGATTCAATGAAATCATTTTATTTCAATTCATTTAATTTCATTTCATATTTGAATGCAATCATTCAATGCAGACCTCAACAACAGTGAACGTGTCTTGGATTACTTGGAGCAGAAAATGCATCCAACTTATAAGACCGAACTTTGAAGGTGTGGAAATTTCTTTGAAAAACTCACAGTAGGTCTCCTGGAAAAGAAAGAACGCTATCATGAAGGCCGAGTGTGAACACAATAGTGAAAATTCTGATGTTGCATTAAGTTGTATTAAATATATATTTTTTTATATTAAAAAAATCAATGAAACCCAACCATTTGAATGCATAAATTGTTCTTTGCATGACCAAATGGTTCACCTCTATGATGAAAAAACAGTTGTATGTGAGCCATGAACTGCCCCCCCCCACCCTTTCATGTTTTTATCTGAAACGGCACACCCAAAGCAAAGGGGGGCGCTGTTCCCACATACTTTGGGCTACCGTCGTGATTTTGCTCTTATTTGAAAGGTAACGCGCTCACGTTTTTCCCCCACAGTCAGAATAACCGTATAAACGACTGACGCAGAGTAACAGAGGCTGGAATGAAGGAGTTTATTTCCGCTTAACTCAAAGCTGTCTAAACTGATCACTGCCTATTCAGTGTTCCTCAGCCTTGGTCCTGGAGCCCCTCAGTCCTGCAGATTTGAGTGTTTTCTTGCTTCAGTACGCCCGCTTTATTTTACTGTATTTATTTTTAAGGGCTTGTTAACGAGCTGATTATTTGCATCAGGTGTGTTGGGAGCCGGGAAAACACTAAAATATGCAGTGCGGTGAGGGCTGAGAGACACTGCTCTAGTAGGCTGCTTACAGTACAAACACGACTGAGCCACAGAGCGACCCGTGTCTGGCGGCTTTACTGGCCTTCGCTCATTCGGCGCTTATGTTGCAAATGAGACGAGTGTAACTGCTGTGAATAACGGGTCATAAAATGGTCTGAATAAAATCCTGAAGATTTCAAGCTTTCTATCGGTGTATTGTATCACTGTAATGCTGGACGATTTGTTGCAAAAATGATGTAACGTTATATAAAAAAACGGAAGTGAACGGCGGAAGTGGGTCGGTGCCGGTACAAGTATTCAGAGGTTATATATTTACAAGGGTTATTTTACGGTCTATTCAAAATCGAGCAATTATTGAGACAGTGATGAGCCAGACATTAAAAAAAATCATACTTTTATCGAAAGCTGTCGTAACCCCTAACCCCAATATTTCGATATGTGAAAATAATACTTACATTTTTGTATTTTTCCCAATGTTTTTCAAAAGATATTTTTGATTTCGTTTAAGTGAAGTTGAAAGATTTATATTTACAGTTTAATTCTAAGTAAAAAAAGTCAGAACATGCTGTCCCATGTTTTCATGTCACTACCAAACAGTTTTAGTCCAGAGGTGGAGCCTCTTGGATGCCTCCCGACAGGTGTGCTGCATGACACACTTAACATCCTGCCATGCTCTGTAGCCTGTACAAAAAGGCTGAGCAGGCCGAGTTTACCTTGATTTTTGAAGATGAGAGGAGGAAAAGATCTGACTTTGAAAGAGAGTTCATAATTGGTGCACAGTTGGCAGTATTATAATGCAAGGTTGACAGGTGTCACCAGGGGACAGCCAAGTTTTGTTCCCCCCTTTCCCCTGTCAGTGTGAAGTCCACTGAGGGTATTTTTTTTTCTTGTTTGTGTGAGTCTACATATTTATAAATACATCTCTTACATACAGCAAACCTCTTGGAGATCCATAAATCTTGGGAAATGTCAGCAATAAACAAAACATTGATGAAAAAACAAACAAACAAACAAACAAGAAAAAAAAACTTCATCCTATGATTTTTATCTGGGTGGGGGTGGTTTCTTCAAGGATGATGATGCCATCATCCACAAGGGGTCACTGGATGGTTTGATGAGTAGACCTGGGTATCAAAATTCAAAAGTTTTTTTGCTATTAACATCAGCACTTCTTGATTAGTCTGTGATCCATTACTGTCAGTCAGTACACCCAATATTTCTGGTTTGAAGGAGAAGTCCATCAATGTTTCAAAATTTCTGTTTAAATCAAATGTTGACAATAGTGATCAAAGGAACCAGGGGTCACGATGGGTACAATGCAAATATAGCCATTTTACTGACCAATGAATCTACATGTCTTTGAGTTTTTATATGTAATGTTGATTATGGTAAAATAGTGATAAACAATACACTGCCCCTATGTACCTTTTTCCATGAATGGATATAAAAAATGTTTTAGGTCAAAACATTTCAAAACTGTCATAAATCAATGTCACAGACATCAGGCAGCGTATTTGTACTATTTAACTTAATAAAAGGGCACATTTCACATCAGCAAACTCTGACTTCGCTTTCATCTTAACCATTTAACTGTGTAGGATAAAATGGCAGAATTCCCTTTTAAGCCACAAACACTTTAGCTTTGTTAATAAAGAAGGTATTGAAAAAAATATCATTCAGGAATCATTATCAAACTCAGGGTATCGCTACTGGTATCGATTCAATAAACTTTTTTTCAAAAAAACTTTTAAACAAAACCTAGAATTACTGTAGAGTATAAAAACATATGCGATGACATTTGCAGTCATCAACCCAAATGGAGATCTACAGGGGATTTTCCACCAATGTGTCAGCAAGCACTTTCCACCACCATCACCAAAACAAATATCTTCTGGAAGAATGGTGTTACACCCCTCCACTGTGGTTCCACATACTTGTAGAATCTATGCCAAACAGCACTGAAGCTATTCTGGTGGCTTGTGGGGAACCAACACCTTGTGGGTTTTTCCTTTAATTTGTCACCTGTATATACACAAGTGTGCTGCTTTTTGTTTAAGAAGAGTGTCACATCTTAAGAACCACTGTAAAAGCCACAATTAAGGATTGTAATGCTATTATTGTTTGCATATAATTTATACTATGTTCAAAAAGTAAGATAAGTGTAAAATTAAAAATTTAGTTATATTATAGTTGATAGCTATTACAAACCGGATTCCAAAAAAGTTGGGACACTAAACAAATTGTGAATAAAAACTGAATGCAATGATGTGGAGGTGCCAACATCTAATATTTTATTCAGAATAGAACACAAATCACAGATCAAAAGTTTAAACTGAGAGAATGTATCATTTTAAGGGAAAAATATGTTGTTTCAAAATTTCATGGCGTCAACAAATCCCAAAAAAGTTGGGACAAGTAGCAATAAGTGGCTGGAAAAAGGAAATTGAGCATATAACGAACAGCTGGAAGACCAATTAACACTAATTAAGTCAATTGACAACATGATTGGGTATAAAAAGAGCTTCTCAGAGTGTCAGTGTCTCTCTGAAGCCAAGATGGTAAGAGGATCACCAATTCCACCATTGTTGCGCAGAAAGATAGTGCAGCAATACCAGAATGGTGTTACCCAGCGTAAAATAGCAAAGACTTCATCATCAACCGTGCATAACATCATCAAAAGATTCAAAGAATCTGGAACAATCGCTGTGCGTAAGGGTCAAGGCCGTAAAACTCTACTGGATGCTCGTGATCTCCGGGCCCTTAAACGTCACTGCACCTCAAACAGGAATGCCACTGTCAAGGAAATAACAGAATGGGCTCAGGAATACTTCCAGAAAGCATTGTCAGTGAACACAATCCACCGTGCCATCCGCCGTTGCCAGCTGAAACTCTACAGTGCAAAGAGGAAGCCATTTCTAAGCAAGCTCCACAAGCTCAGACGTTTGCACTGGGCCAGGGGTCTTTTAAAACGGAGTGTGGCAAAATGGAAGACTGTTCTGTGGTCAGATGAGTCACGATTTGAAGTTCTTTATGGAACACTGGGACGCCATGTCATCCGGACCAGAGAGGACAAGGATAACCCAAGTTGTTATCAACGCTCCGTTCAGAAGCCTGCATCACTGATGGTATGGGGTTGCATGAGTGCTTGTGGCATGGGCAGCTTGCATGTCTGGAAAGGCACCATTAATGCAGAGAACTATGTTCAGGTTCTAGAACAACATATGCTCCCATCTAGACGTCATCTCTTTCAGGGAAGACCCTGCATTTTTCAACAAGATAATGCCAGACCACATTCTGCAGCAATCACAACATCATGGCTACGTAGGAGAAGGATCCGGGTACTGAAATGGCCAGCCTGCAGTCCAGATCTTTCACCTATAGAGAACATTTGGCGCATCATAAAGAGGAAGGTGCGACAAAGAAGGCCCAAGACGATTGAACAGTTAGAGGCCTGTATTAGACATGAATGGGAGAGCATTCCTATTTCTAAACTTGAGAAACTGGTCTCCTCTGTCCCCAGACGTCTGTTGAGTGTTGTAAGGAGAAGGGGGGATTCCACACAGTGGTAAAAATGGCCTTGTCCCAACTTTTTTGGGATTTGTTGACGCCATGAAATTTTGAAACAACATATTTTTCCCTTAAAATGATACATTCTCTCAGTTTAAACTTTTGATCTGTGATTTGTGTTCTATTCTGAATAAAATATTAGATGTTGGCACCTCCACATCATTGCATTCAGTTTTTATTCACAATTTGTTTAGTGTCCCAACTTTTTTGGAATCCGGTTTGTATAAGAAAGTCTTGTTTTAGTGGACAAAAAATACACAAACATATTAAATAGAGTAATTTCTTTGGTTATCTATTTTGGCTTTTTGTGCTTTTTTTAAAGAACTTGTTACAGTTAAGAAAATGATGTGCATTTTCACTGCATACTCCTAAGAATGCACAGAAGGCAGGTGTTTTCCATCCTGTGGTTAATTGCTGTTTCTTTTGACACATTATCTTCATTGTCTTTAAAAATTACATGTAAGCAACATCCTCATAATGCACAGCAAGCAGATTTGCAATGCCTCGACTTGCTACATCTGAATGCATTCTAATGCTGGCCTCGACAGCATGCAGATTTTAATGTTTGTTGTGGCTAAAGCTGTGGTATGTTCTTGCCGATTGACATGTCACTGGTGGTTTTTCTTGATAAAAGATGCGACAGACTGACTTAAGACAGGCTGATTCTACACGCACAACAGTTCCGCCGACAGATGCTTCTCTGAGTGTCATTTACTTTCTCATAACACACTGAGAGCTGTTGTATTCTGCTGATGGAATATTGGTAAGTTTTTTCGAATTTATACAGATTTTTGCAATGTCAATATATTGGCAAAATACAACGTTATGCTTAGTTATAATATCAGAAAAGCTCATTATTTACAGAGAGAAAGAAAAAAACAAAACATTTTTTTAATACTGAGAACAGAAATGTGCTGCTGTTTTGTTAAGGAAGTGCCACATCTCAGCTTCGCAAGTTCTATAAAGTTATTTTTACATACATAAAATTTATACTCATTATTATATGTTGCTGTTGATTCCACTCTTACAGATTACACTGTTTAGATGATAGCTTGTATTGAATAGTAGTTTTTGTTACCGGTGTTTACAAATAATGTAACAAACAACAACTAAATAGAGCACTTAAATGTGGCTTTTTGCACCATTGATTGTTATTCTTGATTGAGAGCTTTGACAATTTTAGAAGTTCAAGGGAGAGAGCTGTATCTGTTGTTTACATATAAAGATGCTGAGTTGTGACTTGTTTTTTCCTTCTCAGGTCAAAGTACTGAACCATGCTTCGGCTTCTGAGTGTGGTATTGACCCTAACTGCGGCAGCTGGAGCTTGTATGAAGTCATGCGAGTGTGCAGACAACAACACCTCCATCACTTGTTCAAACCAGAATCTTCTGGAGTTTCCTCAACCTCTACAAGGTGTCAAGAACCTTTACGTGACTAACAGCTGGATCCGTGCTCTCCCCAATGAGGGTTTGGAAGAACTTTTGATACTTGATCTCACCAACAACCATCTTGGTGCGTGGCTTACTGATACTCCCACCTTACCAAATATGAGAAGCCTCACCCAGCTGTTTTTAAGAGGAAATGGAATTTGCACACTGGTGACTGGACAATTTCAAGAACTGAACAATCTCACTTTCTTGGATCTCAATCAAAACAACATCAAGATTCTCCCACCAAAGTTCCTCAAAGGTTTGACCAACCTTCAGGTCCTTACCTTGAGCTTGAACCAGATACAAAACCTGCCTTGTACAGCTTTCAGTGGAGCTCCTGCACTTAGGGAGCTCCACCTGAACAATAATAATATACAGATGATAGAAAAAGGTGTGTTTGAAAACTGCACCAGTCTAGAAAAACTCATTCTGTCAAAGAACCATTTGAAAACCATAGAGAAAGGGACATTTTTAGGTCCACTGGGCTTGGCTCACCTTGATCTTAGTAAAAACAGGCTCGCCACTGTGCCCACAGCCGCGCTTATGGATACACCCAATCTCACTAGCCTCTATTTGCATCAAAATGATATCACCTTTGTTCCTGAAAATGCTTTCTCTGGACTGTCATCATTAATTAGACTGCATCTGAACAACAACCCCATTTATAGTTTAGATGAGACCTCCTTGCAAGGTCTTTTTCAGCTTGGTGAACTTGATCTGAGTTCCAATCAACTGCAGAATCTGTCCTCATTAGTATTTCAAGATTTAGGCAAACTGGAGTGCCTCAATCTATACAACAATGCATTGATGTCACTCCCTCAAGGCCTCTTTAACAATTTAACCAAGTTAAAAGAACTGCAACTAGACAAAAATAAAATTCGTACCATCCCGCCAGATCTATTTCAGTCACTTTTAAAGCTCAAACAATTACAGCTGGACAGTAATCTCATCTCAGAGCTCAACTCATCTTCATTCGGAATGCTGAGAAGGCTTATACACCTCGATCTTAGCAATAACAGCCTGACCAAAATTTCCAGACAGCTTTTTCACAACACAGGACTGTCCCCTGATGACACTGAACACCTATACTCGCTAAGAGACTTTAGACTTAGAGAGCTCCACCTGAGCAGTAATAATATTGAGATGATAGAAAAAGGTGTGTTTGACAACTGCACCAATCTGACTAAACTTCTTCTCTTCAACAACCACTTGAAAAGCATAGAGGAAGGGACCTTCAGGGGGGCACCGTACCTGCTTCACCTTGATCTTGGCAAAAACAGGCTTACTGCTGTGCCCACTGGCGCCCTTAAGGATACTCCCAATCTTAATCACCTTCACCTGCAACAAAATGCTATCACCTTTGTTCCTGAAGATGCTTTCACTGGACTAGCTGCATTGAAGAAATTGGACTTAAGCAAGAATCCCCTTGTAAGTTTGGATGAAAACTCCCTTAGGGGTCTCTTCAAGCTTAGTCAACTGGACTTGAGTTTCAACCAGTTGCAGGATCTGCCCTCTTGTGTATTCCAAGATTTGGGCATGTTGAAGAGCCTTAATTTGTACCGCAATGCTCTGACATCACTGCCAGAATGTTTGTTCAACAATTTGACCCAATTAAGAGAGTTGCAGCTTGATAGCAATAATATTTCAGTCATTTCCCCAGAGATATTTCATCCACTGACAGAACTCAGAGATTTACAGCTGGACCACAATCACATCTCTGAGCTCAATTCATCTTCATTCACAAAGCTGGCAAAGCTGAAGAACCTTTACTTAAATAACAATGAACTTTTGAGAATTCCTAAGCACCTTCTGCAGAAAACAAAACACCTGAAGGAGCTACAACTGACGCATAATTATATCCGCTCCATCCCAAAGTTTTCTTTCAAAGGCCTTACGAGACTCAGATATCTGAGACTCAGCCACAACCACCTTTCTGTTGTCCATACTGAGCTGCTAGCTAATCTTAGTGACCTACGGGAGCTATCACTAGATCAGAACCGAATAGAGAGGCTCCCAGTTCGATTTTTCACAGGGCTTAAAAACTTGAGAATGCTCGACTTGGCCAACAATCATCTGAGTTTCTTGTCCACCAATGATTTCAAAGACTTGTACACACTGAGAGAGTTGCACTTGAGTTTCAATAAGCTCAGTGAATTACCACATAATATCTTCTCATCTCAAGAAAACCTTCAGAAGCTCTTCCTGCAATACAACCACCTGCACTACTTACCCCCAAAGGTGTTCTCCCCTTTGATCTCTTTGCAAGAGCTTGATCTAGAAAACAACCAGCTCCAGTATGTAGCCCAAATGCAATTCCGAGGCCTGAAGAACTTGAAGCAACTACATCTCAAATCAAATAAACTGCAGTCACTGGATTATGGGACCTTGGAGGCTCTGACAGCTCTGAGATCCATATATCTCAGTGAGAACCCGTGGGATTGCTCCTGTGCTTCCAACATGTATATCAGCAAATGGATCAATAAGAGTACTCATTTGGTGAAGGATAAACCCACATGCTTTGCCAAGTCTGGAAGGCTTGCTGGTCAAGGTCTCAAGATTTCTGCCTTGTCTCCAAAGCACTGTGTCAGCGCTGCCTGCTGCTCTACATGTATGCCACAAATGCGAATGATAACAATGCTTATATTTTTCATCTTGAATGTGTAGATCCCGTGAGGTCCCGTTGTTTCTGTCCAAATTCATGTGCTTTATCATAGCTGTGGTCCAAATAGCTGTTGCTTCAAATAAAATGTTATCTTTTAATAATAACTCTATTTCCTGTGTCTGTAACTGTTTCCAAAACTTTACATTTATAATGATTTCTCTTAACAATGTGTTCTGCAAGTCTTTTCAAATACTGCTGTATGGTTATTGGAGGATGTCAGAAGGATGAAGTGCATAGTCTTTATCAGATCAGGTCATAACCACAGGCCATCAGGTCATAAACAAACATACATTCTTGCACATATTTTAGCTTCCTGTCAAATGTTTTAAAAGGTAATCTGTGCAGTATGCCAATTCAAATATATATAAACTAATCTGACATTAAATGAATAATCCATTTAGATTTACAACCCCAATAAAGGGTAAAAAGCTAAATTACTGACTTCCCAAATTCCAACCAAAACATAAGACTATAAAAGAGAACTATTTTGTGTTTTATTAATTCATACAACTACTATATATCCTTTCCATATTTCTCTTGCTTTAAGGGTCAAGAGAGAATCTATGGAGCTTCTTCTGTATACTGAGTTCTTGCACTGTCTATTTTACATAACACAAACACCAAAAACAACTTTTACAAAAGTACATTTTACTTCCAGACTATTGTCCACCTGTTTCTCTGCAAAATCCGTTATCCCCCTTTTTAACCTGTTCATGAATGGCCTGGATCCCCATGGGACCCCCACAGAGCAGGTATTTTTTGGCTGTGAAAATATACATAAAATTCATTAAGTCAGTGTCTGTGTGTTTTTAGCTGGACCCTGTGTGAGCTAACTGTAGTAAGACTTAATGAAGAATGCCCAGCAAATGTCCTGAACTTATGCACAGACAGTCAAAAATCCATATCACAGATATTGTACATGCACAGGCCATACTGTAGTCCATCTGTTTCTCTGTATAATTTGTTAGCAGTTAGCCTTTATTTACCCCATTCATCAATGGTCAGGGCCTCCACTGAACAGGTATTATTTGGATAGTGGAAAAAGATTAAGAATATTTGTTGGGTATTCATTACCAACATGCTGTTGAACCATTTTATTGCAAACACAGGCCTCCAACTAAAAAGACGAAAAACTGACTTGAATTTCATGTAATTATTCACAAACTATCTAATAAAACTGACATTAGAGCTAAGGAGCTGGTATTTTTAAGTACCCAGTGAGCAACATAATTCAGTACGGTCCCTCTCAGTCAGTCACCTAATTTTAAAGTGATGGTTCAGCCAAAAATTAGGGCCAAATGATCAAAATGAAAAACATAGTTACATGTATATGCACCCTTTCATATCCTACAGCAGTGCCACAGTAGTCTCTAGAGTGAGATTTTCTGGTTTAAATATTAGGAAAAAGACCTTATTGGGGATATTTTGGGAAGGTGGGAGGAGTGTTTGAAAAATTACAACTGCTTGGTGTAGATTTTTGGGGTGAGCTGTTTAAAAAATGTTTTTCTTTTTTTTCCTCAGTTTGGCTCGATTTTTCTGACTGAAACGGTAACAAACTTGTGACTGGCATTCAGTGTTGATTAAAGATCTTTCTTAACACTGCATAAAATGACGAATAGCATATTAAACTCTAGTTTAGGCCCCTTTATAAAGTACACAATTTTCCTCTTATACCATAGTATATCAGCATAGTTGATCAGCAGAGACTTTTGGCATCTGGAGTTATGAGGATAATTACACCCACTTTTATTCATTGACAATATTACGCCATGTTTTTTAGGAACTACATAAGCAATTCTATTTGAGATTACTTAACCACTCACTGTGGTTTGAGGCAAGTGTGATGATTCAGACATGCAGTTCGCAGTCCTACAAAAGTTGCTTTCAGTTTTTCAAAGAAATCTGCAGAGATATTTTCCCACACCTCCAAAGATTAGTCTTAGAAGTCGGTTGCATTTTCTGCCTCTTACGATTCGAGTAATCTCAAACACATTCAGTGAAGTTGAGGTCTGGACTCTGGGGTGGACAGTCCATTGTTCTTTGTTTGATTTGCCAAATTTTCTACCGTTTTGACAATTTACTTTTCTCAGTAAGGGCTTCCTGGCAGCTACACATCCCTTCAGACCCATAGCGCCGAGTTGTCTTCTCACAGTGGAAGGATGGACAAATATTTTTCTGAAGCAAGAGTGAAGAGTGAATTTTCTCTTCACTCTCAAAGATGAAAGTACTGCTTCTCTGATGGTAACAGTTTTAGGGGGCTACCAGGTCTTGTTGTTAAGAGCCCTATTTTCTCCAGTTTTGTAAACTCCTGTCACTTATTTTCATTTTCACTTGTACTTTATGGCCATTTTAACTGGAAATTAAATAAATAAAGGGTGAACTTTGACTTTTGCACAGTAACTGACTTTTGGAGAATAGGAGAAAATTTCACTGGTCATATGCACATTTATGGCTTTTCAAGTTTCTCTGATAACCAAAACTCCTACCACATTTGTCACAAGTGTACTGTTTCTCGCCTGTGTGTACATACATGTGAGCTTTTAGCGTGTTCAGCTGGGTAAAACTGCGCTTACAGACATTACAGCTGTAAGGCTTCTGTCCAGTGTGTACGCGCTGATGTCTGCGGAGATTCCCTGCAGAGGAAAAGCCTTTGCTGCACACATCGCAGCTGAAAGGCCTTTCCCCAGTGTGGGACAGCTGGTGAGATTTGAGGCTGTTCTGTTGGGTGAACGTCCTGCCGCACACTGCGCAGCTATAGGGCCTTTCTCCAGTATGAGTCCTTTCGTGAATTTTCAAGTTGCCAGCACTTCGGAAGGATTTTTTACAGATGCCACATCTGTGAGATTTGCTACCACCATGTTGATTCTGGTGATTCTGTAGGCTGTTCAGAGAACTGATGCTTTCTCCACAGATGCTACATGAGACGGTCTCCTCCAGGTGAGTCCTAAGGTGCATCTCCAAAGAGGTCATGCAAGCTGACACCATCCCACAGGCGACGCAGCTGAAGCCATTCTGTCCCATGTGCCGGCCGTCGTGTAGCCTCAGCCCATTGGGCTGGCTGAACCCTTTCCCACATGATTTGCACACATAAGGTTTCTCACCTGTGTGAATTCGTTCGTGAGACTTTAGTGTGTTCAGCTGGTTGAAACTTCTCCCGCATGTCTGGCAGGTAAACGGTTTCTCCCCTGTATGGATCCTCTGGTGTCTGTGCAGATTAGAAAGACAGGCAAAGCTCTTCCCACATGTGTCACAGCTATGCTGCTTCTTCACTGAGTTTGCCATCATGTGTTTCTGAAGAGAATGAGGTCTTTTGCAGATCTCCACGTAAGTTTTACCTTTTGCGCATCTTGTCATGCTACAAAGCCTTTCACGATTTCTTGGATGCCTCTGATGAATGAAAGTCTTGCCACTTTGGCAACAGCTAAGGGGTTTCTCCACAGCAGCATGTAGAGCCTGGTGTGCTCTAAGATGAATCAAGTTGCTGAAGGTTCTTTTGCAGTTCTTACAACTGAGCTTACTTTCTCTTTTCCAGTATCTAGTTTGTGCCTTTATATGCCTTGTCTGTCTCACATCATTTAAAGCTGCAAGTGCATTTGCTTCCTTCCATACCATTTCAGAAGGAACGTCAACCTCTTCTGACCTGCAGATGTTTTCTTCTTCATTGTTTTCCCCTGATTTTCCATTGTCGATGGCATTCTCTAAGCTCTGTTCTGGCCCCTCTTCTTCAATGTCCATACATTCACCCATTCTGGTTGTCTGTAATAAAAACATTCATATATTTTAATACTTAAAATCATTTAATATCATAGGACTGATTTGCTAAAATAAGCAACATTTTACAGGTCACATTAATGCAAAGTTCAAAATGTAACCAACCTGCTGTACTGTTGAGACTGAGGTAATTACGATCTCAGGTTTCTCAATATTTTGGTGCTCCTCTCCTCTCCAACTTTGTGAGACATCAGATATTGTCTCCTCATAGGCTGCAGCGAGTAAGAAAATATGAGGGTTTGGCAGTACAATGATAAGGTATACCGTGGTATTTAAAGATGATGCCGGTATTTAAAAAATATGATGGTATTTCAAAATGATTACGTCAAATGTCTTTTCCATGTATGAACAGCCTCAGAAACACACTCCATCTATTTAGATTTTAGAGGGGCTCACTGATTGGTGGTGGTGGAGCTCACTGATAAGTGATGAATATAGAAAGAAGGGAAAAATAAAAGCCAGGAACTTAAAAAAAAACCTTAAAAGATTATGCAAGATGGCAGCTACACAAACCACAGAGTGTTTTTGATTTCAGCTTTCACTCTAACACCAATCACTTAACTTTGCGCTCTCAGATGTCATCTGTGTGTCATTTTAGCATCAGTTAGCAGTATCCAGGCCTGTGCTGTGGTGTGTATGCACACTTGGCCTGCTAACTTAGGTACCGTTAGCTTAGCCAAAGTGTTACAGCCCCGAAAAACACAGAACAATTATAGCTTTAGTCATCTAAACTTGTTGCATCAAAACAGCAGTTAGTCAGAATCAAACCTGCACTGTGATGGGTGGCACTGTTTGGTCCTGTAGCCTGCTCACTAAGCTAACGTTAAGTTAGCCTATCAGGATAACTTAACATTAACTCAATATTTCTTGAGTTACAGACAAAGACCAATCAAAGAGAATGGTTTTGTTTACTGTAGATAAGCAAATTACCTCCGTTAAAAAACATAAATGAGACAGACAATATGATCTCGCCAAGTATGGTGAATGCAAAGCCTGTATGTAACAAAAGTCTGTGCCAAAAGCATGCTTATAAATCTTGAGCCCTTGAGGTCTCTTGTCCTACAAGGCTGCACAAAGTGGAGGAAGACTGGAAAGCTTAAGGCATCTTTTGGGACGAGCAGGGAGGAGGAAGGAGGGTGTGCATGTTATCTATACCTGTTTGATGCCATTTGGGTATTTCATGAAGTTCTTGCTTCCTTCTTGACACAGTTTTATGTCTTTTTGCCACCGGCTTCTGTTTCCTCTTGAGGTTATTGCGTGCAATCTGACTTTGAGTTAAATGCAGATGTAAAACTGCTGAGGTGTCACTGAAGAGCCTGCAGATCTTCTCTACCGCTTCCTTTACTTGCATTTCTAGGACAGCATTCAGCTGAGCCTGAAAAGTGAGGGAAATCAAAGCAAAAACAAAGAGACAAACATGACAAATACAAATTTCAGCACTTTGTGAAAAAACAATGAAACAAAACAAATCTGTAGGAACTGCTGGTTGGGCAGGCTGAGTACAGCTGTAACAGCAGGACATGTTAAATATTTCATTTGCATTATAAACTTGAAGTGACACATACGTACTGCATATTAGAGGCGGGCAATACAGGAACATATAATATCACAATACTTACGGATTTTTTTTACGGCATGTCGATATTTATTTTGTCTGACATCTAATAAGTTAGAACAGACAAAGTAGTGACACGTTTTAAAAATACTACCAAAAACTACAAATCCAATTACTTGCATTCAAACAGTGCTTAAATGGTTCTTTGCGTGGTTATATGGCCCTATAGATTAATGGAGAACGTGCTGTAGTTGGTTTTATATAGAATCTTTTTGAAAAGGGTTCTATATAGCACCAAAAAGGGGTCTGTTATTGTTATGGTGTCAAGTTTGTAACAACTGAAGAACGCTTTTCAGTTCTATATAGAACCATACACAACATTCTCCATCAATCTGAAGAACTATTTCACCATGCAAAGAACGACTTAAGCATGCAAATGGTTGTTTGAGTGTTCATTGTTCTGTACAGAACCAATGTATTTTCTAAAGAACCATCTTTTTATGAGAGTAGTGATATGCCCATTTGTTATTATAAAGGTCAAGTTCCAGTAAAAAAAATGACTGTTTCCCGTCGGCGGAGTGGCCACTTCCTGCTGCCAGATGCCAATCAGGGACTGAGCCTATGCTGGTCTCTGGCCTGAGGTCGATTGTAAACGGCACAATGTCCTTACACACTTATTATGGAGTATATAGTTACTTTTTCATAATCTTCAAGACATTTTGATCTACAGGTTTATGCTAACATGCTGGAAGACGAATACAATTTAAAGGGTCACTCTGGCCAAAATGAAGAAAATGAGCCATCACTAGCTAAGTTACATCTGCTGTAAACACGCTTTACTCGGGTCCTACAGCGGTGCCACAGCATCTGTACAGGGAGGAGCTCCTGTTTAAAGACTAGGAGCCCCCTCTGATTATGTATCCTGAAGGTCGGGGACTTTTTTGAAAAATTCCTCCAAATAAGTAACGATAAGGCCACAGTCTGCTGTCTGCTGGTGCATCACTGGAGGTGAACGGTATCTGAACATGTTACCGAGGGCGAGCAGGTCCTCATACTGAGGCGGACCGGGCGGATATTCAGTGGAAATTCAGATGACCAACCTTAAACTCGGCCGCTGTGCTGAGAGAATCGCTCTCTGTAAACTTCAACAGAGATTCATCCAGAACTCTGCCCATTTTGTGCACAGTGGCCTTCATGAGTGTCTCCAGGATGGAGAACACCTGAGGCTCCAAGAGCGACAACATCCGCTGAGTTTCTGAGCTTTTTCGCAACATGCGTTTCTGAGGAGAACATAGGTTTACACTTCAAAGAAAGAAAGAAATCAGCTGCTGAACCAGCGCTGCACTGTTTCTGTCCTGTGCTGGACGCTGACAGGAGCGCGGTTTAGTTCACTGCTGCCGCACACTGGACTGGGGAGGGATTACATCATTGTGAAAGGCTAGCTTCTTAAATTATTATTATTATTATTATTATTATTATTATTATTACTAAAGCTGAGATTTGACATAACATGCATTCTAATCTGATGTAATGTTACAGTTATGCTGAACATATTGTGGCTTTGGCATAAGAAGAAACCCAGCCAGCATAAACCTCTGGCCCATGTCCGATACAGTTTGGCTAGCCAGATAAGAAATCTCTGGCCCAAGTCATTTTGCCCAGATCCGGCAACCAGAACCATCAAAATAAGCCCATTTATGCCCCTCATTTTGTAGACTACTTCAGATGCAATAGATTTAACAGCAGGAGGTGATCGAGAGTCTGCTGCATTTTCATTTTTATTTCAAATGGGCCTGAATCATTCATGAGTCACTGAGCTAAAATGGCTAACGTTAGCGTGGTTTGCACTTTTTGTCCTCCATCACGTTATCTACAGTTATTTGTGAGATACCTGTGTAATGGTCGTGGCAGTCATGTCTAAGGATTAATTCCAACCAGTATCTCAAATTAACTGACACACCATCCACTAACTATATGATCAAATACAGTTTCAATTAAATTGTTTATTCACATAACATCACACATCAGCATTTTGGCTACATCTTTTGAGCAAAAGCCAAGAAACCTTTGCTTGAGAAACATTTTGAAAGTGTCCAAAAATGCAAAATTGTACAGCTCTTATGCCTGTATTTAGCACACAGAGCGTCATCTGTGTTCTTTGCAGCTGTTCAGATTAATGAAGCTTCTGCCTCACCTTTCACACATGCACATTTTTTTTTGCCAGTATGTGTTTGCATATGAGGCTGCAGGTTGTTGGGTTGGGAAAAGCTTATCAAGCTAATGCCACCTTTCTCCCCAGTATGAACTAGCACGTGTCTCCTCAGGTTACCAGAACCGCTGAAGACCATGCCATATGAAATGAATGTCCTCCCTCGGAATCTGTGTCAGCTTGAAGGTTTTGCCATATATAGTGCATTTGTGAGTTCTCCTGAGTGCAGAGACACATGTTTTCTGTGAAAAGGCCTCACCACAGACACTTGAAAAGTTTGCCCTCTGTATGAATCTTCTTTCATAATCTAGCTTTGAAGATCTGAACACCACCCCTGAGGCAACGGAGCTGTAGAGCTTTCCACACATTTTGCAGCACTAAGGTTTCTTCTTATTCACATTCTCATGACTGTACAAGAACTTTTTCCCACACACTTCACACATGAATGGCTTCTCTAACTCATGAACCAACACGTGGCCTTTAGGGAAGCTTTTGTAAATCGTTTTCTACACATTTCACACGCATGTAACATCGCAATGAAGGAACGTGTCTTCATATTCTTTGCAATCATAAAGCTTTTGCCACAGATTTCACACTTGTCTACTGTGTGGACAAGAAGATGCTTCTTCCGTTTGCTGGTGGACTCGAAACTTTTGCACCAGCCTCTCTTTTAAAAGTGTCAGTCTGTGTATATGAGCATCCTGATTTGGAGAGTCATTTCCCACGTGCTAGACAGGAATACAACTTTTCACCTGTGTGGATCCTCTGGTGAGAAATCAGACTCGTGTTGTGCAAAGATACAGCTTTATGTCTGCATGAGTTAGTTTGCTTCAGTATCTCTAAAGCTTTTTCCACATGTACAGCAAAGGAATGTCTTTTTCTCACCAAGTGTACAGCTGTGACTGTTGAGGGCCCTTAGTAATCTAAAGTTCAACCATGTGGTTTTGCTTCAGCGTGTCCCCGCAGTGTGATAATCTTAGTAATCCTAATCATCTGACTCATTCTCCTTCAGTTTCACTGGTTGCACATTTTGCTCAGAAAGCCCAATAACAGTGCTCTTTCATCACTGACTGCCACCTGAAGCAGCAAACAATGAATGTATTTCTAGGAGATATTCAAAATAACATACACTCCATTGACAATTAATAGGGTGACCTAAAATGTACCTACACCTTGGCCATTTTGTCAGGTACACCTTCACAATAAGGTTTACAAATACTGTAGCCTGTAGCCCATCTGTTGCTGTAGACCATGACTGTAGACTGTAGCCCATCTGTTGCTGCATAGTTTATAATGTGGTCCTATTGTAATCTCATCCCATTGATGGACAGGGTAGAAGATGTGTCAGATTCCAGTCCTGAAGGGTCACATCACTACTTTGCGATCTCTTATTAAACACACCTGATTCAACTTATCAGCTGATTAGCAAGGACTTTGTGAGTTGAATTCATAGTCTGTGTTTGAAATAGCCTACTACATGCTGCGGTGTCTGCCATGGGCCATGCTCAGGAGCTTAGGGGATGTGGTAACGCAATGCGGCTCTCAGGAGATGCCACACTCCCAGCATAAAACAGACTATTGTAGATGTTGTTGTTGTAGTTGCGACTAGTGAAACAGTTGTTGTTTGCCAAATTGTGTCCATGGAGGGTGGGCTCTGAGCGTGAGTTTGTCCACCCTCCACGTGCCCAACGCACGCTGGGCTGGGCCTGTTTGAAAATGAAAGAGCATTTGTCTGTATGCGCGTAACATTAGGGGTTCCATGTGACTTGGTTTGGATTAAGTAAATACTTGGATTAAGTAAATACATCTGGGTTTGCCTGTGTGTCTGCTGGAATCCCATATCTGTTTCCATAGCATTCAATATTTTAGCACATGCTCCAGACCCAATCAGGAAACCATTGCTGATTTCAGCTTTAACTGTTTCTGCCAGTAATTCCTGCTAAAACCACCATCATGAATTCCATGCTGAACTAAGCTGTTTGTTGTTGGTCTGATGCTGGTTTAGCTGCTCACCCAGAATGGTCATGCTTGTTGACCAGCATACCAGCATCTAAAATACAACATATACTGGTTTTGCTGGTGACCAGCTATGTTGGTCTATACTTGTTTTTCTAGCAGGGATGACGTGATGAGTGTTGACATATTCAAACCACATCACAGTAAGTATGTTATGAATGTATCTTCTATGCATGTATAACTGTATCATTCTGTTAATGAAATCAACTGTGTTTCTTTAAAGGACTACAATAGATAATACCTAATAGATAAGATGTTTCATTAAACGACAAGTTGTTTTTAAATTTACATTAATTATTAATTAACATTAACTTACATTAACATCCTGGGCTATTTCAGTAATTTTCAAAATAAAAGTTACTTCAGAAGGTAGTAGTAGATGTACCAATATATCAAATATTAAAACCTGGCTATGATGTTGTATACATCATGTTAACATCTCAGCTGATGGAAGAAATCCATTTAACAGATTTAAACTTAAATGTAATTTATTTACACAGTTAGCATTAAGAGAATTTTTGTCCAAAGCCAGAATAAAAAAGGAGTTTGTAAAAAATGTTCATTTCAAATGTTGTGAAAAGTCTAACAGAGGAAAAGACCATTCAAGTCAATTTTAAGCCTTCTTATTTGTTTTAATAGACATAAGCTGCAGTTCAAACTGCAAATGAAAAGTATGTTTTACATATATCACATGTTCAAGCTCCAAAGCAAAAATCTGAAAAACCCAGTATGAGTTAGTCTAAATGCAACCTACACAGTTATTTAGAGGTTCCTCAGGGATCTTCCAGTTTGGGAGTTAGAAAAGAGCAAAAAGAGGATCATCTAGGTCCCTTAGGTCGATCTAAGAACTACTGAATTTGACCAATTGAAATATTGGTGGTTGTAGCTTTCACTGATGTGTAATTCAGGGCAGGGAGTAACACAGGAATTCACCACTGACAGCTGATGACAACTGTGTGTTTTAAACATCCTGATTATATATAACAGAACCAAATGCAACCAAACATGGAGCACAGTAGACAGAGAATAACATGAGAAGAAATGGAGGGTTTCTATTACCTTCAAAATGTACACTATTTAGAACAGCCTCTTGTGTTTGAGTAATGAGAATAAATGTTTGATGCTGTACCTCTCCCAGCAATGAAAACCCAACAGGCCAAAACAAAACTCCCACCTTTTGAACATCTGCTACTGAAACAGTACATAAAACAGCATCTCAACAGCATAGCAAACTGCTATTAAAGGCACTACACTAGCGTTCATAAGTTTGGAATCACTAGCCATATTTTCCGTTACTTTTATACAATAATATTCTATAATAATACTTATTCAGTGTGGATTTAAGTAATACAAACTACTTGCCAAATGGTATTCTTTAGATGTTTTATATACAATTTCAGGAATTCTGTGAAGAGGAAGTGAATAAACGGATAAATACCTGAATTATTTTTATAATTTTTTTTTGTCTTGAGATCTGATCACCACTTTTGAAACATGATGAATTCTGCATTTTAATTTTATTATAATTTAATTCTCATTTCTGAGCAGCTTTCCCAGTCATTTTGGAACTCTCCTATGTGTTTCTCATTCTAAACACATCTGAAATGTCTTAATTCACATTTACAGCTTCTATTATTATCATATTATAATATCGTATCATATTATAATCATTTCATACAGTTGTCTGAAAGCAAACTGTTGTACTGGTTTATAGTTTCGGACTCTTTTGAACAGCAATTCCAAACTTTTGAACACTATAAGCATTCACACACATTTGTGATCATTGTAGTTCCTAAGATAAGCGTACTTCTTCCCACATTTCTCACAAGTGTATGGTTTTATTCCCGTATGAATCTGCATGTGGGCCTTCACGTTGTTCGGCTGGCTAAAGCTTTTTCCACAAACTTCACAGCTAAATGGCTTCTCCCCAGTGTGAACGCGTTTGTGCCTGCGGAAATTTCCGGCAGTGCGAAAGGACATTCCACACACTTCACACTTGTGTGGTTTTTCACCAGTGTGAATGAGCATGTGCATCTTAAGCCCATTGGGCAGGCTGAACCCCTTTCCACAAAGCGAGCACTTGTGCACTTTCTCATTAGTGTGCAGGTACTTGTGCACTTTTAGG